CGCTGGCCAGGGTAGTTGGAGAACGCATCACTTGAGAGTGAGAGCACACTACCTTAGGGAGCAGTACGAGTCAGGCCAGATCATTCCTGTATACTGTCCAGGTGTAGAGCAGGCGGCCGACCTGCTGACGAAGGCCCTGGCAGCAGCAAGGATCAGCAAGCTTGCAGCCATTTGGGGACTGCCTGAGCGCAGCGCTGCTCGCCTTGCGAAAGCAGAGGCATTGTGTGATGATTGCCCTGCTGCAGCGCGTGCTGTTGCCCAGCAAGATTTTCAGTTGAGCGATGAGTTTGAAGACCCATCCCTTCCAGTTTCCCTGGATGCCGACCTGATGCTTGCAGTCTCCATCATATGCATGGGGATTTGCTCCATAGCCTTGTGGGAGCTTTGTAAGTGGTGTTTAGGGGCCATTTATCCGCACAGGTTTCCAGGGATTGGTGGGCCACACGTTTCCTCGCATAAGGCCCGCAAGTTGCAGCGATTGAGAGACCAAACTGCACAGGCCATTCAGGCCGAGCTCTCAACTCGCAATGCCCAGACACAGCCCGCAAACTGCACGCAGCATGGCCACGGGCAGGAACTACGCCGCCTTCGTGCGTTGGCCATCTCTGCAATGTGCCTAGCACAGGTTTTCAGGTCAGAGGTGCAATTGCGCCTCTCTAACGGGATGGCTTGCTTAGTGTAAGCTGTTGCCTGTACAGTTTTTCGAAGAGAGAGATGCCGTAAGCGCATTTCTCAGAAACCTTTTCTAGGGTAGTGCGTGACGGCCTGGACTAACTCAGTAGAAAAACTGATAGTCGCTAAGCCCTAACGAGCTCGCGAAGGAGGAGTGCTGAAAGCTATACTTCTCCTGAGCCAGTCTGCAACCACATGTCAGTCATGTTGTTGTTGTACTAGTTGCTTTTCTGTTGCTTCTTTGGCCCTAGGCACAGTCATGAGGCCATGAGCATATTTAAGAGCTTTACAATTGTCCTAGGCCACGTGTATGTGTTGTAGCCAAGTTTTCCAAGACACTTTTCGTTGTTTCCTTGCGCGTAAAAGAACCTCCGCTTTGTGCGTTTGCTTCTGGGGGATTAGCTACCCCACTTCTCACTTCCTCCACATCCAAAAAAGCTCCTGCACATCAGCAGTATCACTAAAGGCTTTACCTGGCGCAGGACGAGTTAACGCATCCAGGATTGCAGACTTTTCAGTCAACCCTCCAGGCTGGAAAGCAGTTAGTACTCTAAAGATGATCGCAGTTGAACCAAGCTGGCGATTAGAAATAAGCTCCGTCTGCAACCACACGGGCAACACATTTGGTAACAGGCTAATAGCTGCTTGTTCCACTCGACCATACTTAATACTATCATAACGAGAAGGTTCTCCTTCTTCGGTTGCCTTTCTGGTCAATCGCTCTTGAGGGCCAGCGGCTAACCATCTCCTATATAGCTCATGAGCTCTTTCCCATACCTGAGTCCGCTGTAGCGGATAATGACTTTGGGTCAGCCAATCACCCGCTACGCAGGGCGCCAAACCCCTTGTAGGGTCTAGTACTGGCAACGGAGATGTATGTTTACTAACATCCTCTGGCTTTACGTCATCTGTTTCTGAAGCCCCAGATAAAGCCTTCTGAAGCCAGATCAAACCACGTACGTCTTCATCAGAAGACTGAGGAGGAGGTGGAGGCCTTGGAGGTGTTACAGGCTTAGGAGTAACAGGCGGAGGTCCCCGAGGAACCCTAGCACCCATAGGGGTCTTAGGAGAAACTTCCAAACCCTGATTACTTTGAACACCTAAATGTCCAAAAGCAGGTGGAGTTGGGCTGGGCTTCTTGCACTTGTTTGGCTCCACTGCCGTTTCGAGCTTTGGCGGGTTTTACTGCCATGCTCCATGCTTGGCTCCTTGCTCAAAACTCTCGACCGCAACTGATCACCTCGTTGGTTCTCTAAATACCCGCCAGGTATTCCACCTCTCTCAGACGAAAGCACTCTAATGGTGCCATGATTAATCATTAATCCACTACCGCACTTCTTAACTGGCCATTTACTTCAACAATGATCATAGAACTGTGAGTTGCACCACTGCCCCTCCTGGACAGATGGGCTGGCAACGGCGGAGGCGGAGGTATATAATACAATCTGCTGAATCCTCAGCAACACTAAGGTTAGGGCCGAAACCATAAGGTCCTCCATTGGGGGAACCCTGGGATTGCATAGTGCACTGCCAGCCACTACCGCCAACACAGTGCAATGGGCAAACCCCTTTTTACATCAGCGTAATTACTAGCCGGGGGGTACAGGACGATTACTGGCAGAAGCGGCACACTTCCCGTGTGTCACACTTGCCACCCCGACATGTTTCCCAGTCCTACGGTAGAACCCACATCAACGGCTGCACTCTCTCTCGCATTTCTTGGCCAACTCTTGGACCTAAGGAGGACCCGGACAGCACCGGACCGAGGAGACCATGCGAAACACGACCAAAGGAAACCCACTAGGAGTATTCCCAGGGGCAGGTATGGATCCTTTACCGCCAACACTAGAAATCCCAAATTGTGGCTTACAAACAAAACGCCTGCTGCAGAAGAGAGGGCACTAACTGCCCCAATCTCCCCTGCACCTACTTGCTGACCGCCAGTCAAAGCATGAGGCTTAACCACTGATTGTGCAAGCGTTGACCCGCCAGGTCTACTGCTATTCGCAGCAATTCCAGCATCACCAGATCCTTCGATCGCAGTATGCGCCGAGATCACTGAGCCTGAACGAGACTTTTCTAAATGAACTATACGTGCATGCAATGCCTCGCGCTGGTTGAGTAATACTTGAAGCAACATGCCTGTGTCAGGCGTAATAGGTCCTGACTGAGCAATTTGCTGGGCCAGATCCCGAACGTTTCAGTTGAGCATGAGGTAAGCCCATTGCCGACGTTCCGGGTCCCCGACTGTCTCGGCGAGGTGGCTTCTTCTTCGGTGATCCCTCTGCCACGAAGCTGCCGACAGTTTTGGGGCCCTTGCGGTCGGCTTTGGACTCCGTAGTGCGATCATCAGGGGCTGCGGAAGCCGCAGTCGAAGCAGATGCCTCCACGTTCTTCTTCGTGAGGCCGGGCGCACCAGAAGGCTCGGTGCTGCTAATGTCACTGGAGGAGGATTCGGCCTCCTTCTCGACATCTCGGTCCTGGGGTCGGCCACGCCGTCTCTTCAGGGAACCAGTCTGCTGCAGCTTCTCCTACGCTATAAGGCTCTCCAGTCGATTCAGCACCGATTTGAAGGGCCTTCACCTCCTTTTCGCTTCAGGTGAAATAAGAACTCATCGACACACTCGTTCAGCTCCGTCTCCGGCAAAAAGCGTTAGTGGTCGTCCGGTGCCTTCAGCACCTTCAACCACCCTTGCTCACTCCGGAGATCTCCAACACTAAGGTGCTCCGTGGCACGCCACGCTTCACCAGTCAGTCGAGTCGAGATCTTCGGACCTGCCAGCTTGAGCTGCTTCTCCTCGAGCGCAGCGATGTGCAACAAAATCTTTCGCCTGAAGTGACGATATTCGGAAGGAGACCCTCCAAAGGTGAGGTCGCGGAAGAAATCACCCTTGTCTGTCATCTCTCCTTCCAAACACAATGAGCCCTGGAGCAGGGCTCCGCTACCATGAAAACAGGGCCGGAAGGGTCTCACTCACAAGCAGACAGCTTCACGCAAAGACAGCCATTTGTCTGACTCTACCGCAGCTAGCGATCCTCAAAGGATTCAAGGGCCCCTCCAGAGCCGCAATGGCAAAGCCGGAAGACTCCTTCTTCCAAAACATGTCTGAACATGTTTGGATGTCCTGAATTGCAGACACGGTCTTACACTATAAATACAGGTTGCGATCCACGTCAGCGGTCTTAGTTCCGTTAATGTGTCAACAGTCACAGAGATGGGCCTAAGTCAGCGCAGCGTTGCAGAGTGAAATAAAATTTGGGTAAAGTGGAGTGGGCGCTGGTGTGGATTTCAGTGCGGACTGCTGACGTGGAGTGGTGTAAAGCGTGGGTGGAGTGTGGAGTGAGAAGTGTGGAGCGAGAAGTGTGGAACGAGAAGCATGGAGCACGCAGTGGATTACAGTGTGGGGTGTGCAGCGAGCGTGGTGGATCGTAGAGTGGAGCGCAGTCGATTGCTTAAGCTAAATTTCCGCTGCATCTGCCTGGCCTTTGCTTGAAGATCCCTACATGTCTGGTGTTTGCAAGCTCCGTGGTGTGCATCTAAGCTTGCAGATGAAGTCTCCAAGCTCGCCAACACTGAACTTCACTGAACCGTTTGGATTATGACGCCGCGGTCTGCTCGAGTGTTTTGCATTGCTCGGTGTCGTGGAGGCTGTTGAGCTAGCAGGGCACGGAAGGGCATGAAAGGGCATTTAAGCTGTCTCCTATCTTCCTTGGGATGTCAGGGACAAGCATTTCAGGAGAAGCTGCAAAAGTTGATCAAACTTGGCTCTGCTTGATTCCAGTCTTTTTCCAGTCTTTAGCTTTGCAATATCTCCTGCTTGAACAGCCAAAGCCTGCCTTGACATACGTGCCCGCTGTCTCTTGGGAGACATCCTGTCCACGGGACCAAAACCTGATCTTCCCCGTGCATCCGCAACTTCGACTGCCGTGCAACTCACAGAACTTCTTAAGCGGTCAGCTGGGCATCAACTGCTTTCAAGCAACGGGATGATATCAAAGCCTGTTTGATTGATGGGGAGGTACGGCTTCCTGAGCAAGCTGAAGACTGCCAAGTTCCCTCACATGGCCTAGAAAACATTAGAAACAAGAACAAATAACACTATGTCACTAATGCTTGAATGGGATCCACCCAGGTTCGCACTCGCACTCGAAGGGCTTGATGCACGTGCCATGAATACACCTCAACCCCATCAAAACCAAATGGCGCAAACGTGCATACGTCAGGATGTTGACGGTTCAACTATTCAAATGGACAAGAGAATTCACCCAAGTCACTCTGGTGAAGGTATGGGCCAGCTTTGGCATAATGGATAGTCACCTCCATCACGTTTGAACGTCAGAGCTCTGCAAATGGTCAGTCATGTATAGAAGTTGCAGCTTCGGCACACAGCCGCCCGCCCCAACCCTCAGCGCAGCGACAAACGTCTGGTGACACAGCCTCAGGGTCTTGCACACTGTCTCTTCACGATTGCAGTGAATACAGCAACTCACCTTCTTGGCTTTGCGCCACCGCAGTGGGTGTGACAGAACGAATCACGCTCGAGAGAAATCTCCGGGCTGTGCGTCTGTACACATCTGTTGAAGCTACTCTGGGGTGATGCATCGTTCACACCCATGCTGCAGGAAGGGACCAACTCTGTTTCCGAAAGTGTTGCGGGCTCTTTTCAGGGAGTGCTGTGCCCGTTGCTATACGCAGATGTCAGTGATGATCTGGAATTTAGCCTTTGCTGGATGATCCAGCGCAGTGCTCCGATACAAATACGCCAATCTTTCCAAGGCGATGGGCAGAGCCAGCGAATGTTGTTGGTCGAAAGGCGCGATTCTAGAATGCTTTCGGTATGGTGTCGCTTCGCAAGAGCAGATGTGCCGGCCACCGCGAGGGTTGGCACTCACGAAGCGGAATCCTGCCTAAACCAGTACGAAACGACAGCCCCCCACGTCCGCCATTTGCGAAGCGGAATCGCGCCGAGAGCCCGCTGTGGTACATGTCGTCTCAAGGCGGGGACGTGTGTATGTTGGTTCCACCACGATTCAGCTTTGCAAATGCCTAGCCTCTCGGTGGACGCCGAGGGGGTTGGCATCTTTTGTTGGTTTCGGAAGGCTCGGCTTCGCAAGCCCTCTCGATGGACACAGGGCACGCATCGTTGCAGCAGTCCTTCTTGCACTCTGTCCATTTAAAACGCGGCAAAGCAAGAATCACGCCTATTGCTCTTGACATTTCCCACGTGAATACAATCTCTCAATCTGACATTGCAGATTCTAACAGGTATTCTGTCATATCCTCTAGAGTTGCCATACAAGTCCTGACAATCTATGGGAACATCCCATACCAGTTCTATCATGTTCTATCCCGAAGATTACCATGCCAATTCTGTCATCTTGTATGGCTATCCTATATGGATCTTGCCCTACCATCTTACATGGATACTCGAAGCGCAGGGTTGCTGAAGTAGCCTCAGCTCTTAAAACTTGCGGTTTCCCGGCTTGAACCCCAAGCTACTGAAGATAAAAAACAAAGCATGCAAGCAGAAAGGTAAGGTCTAAACATGCACGACAACATCCCATGTCAACATCAAAAACTAGGGACTGTCCTATTGAAACCGCCGATGAAAGCAGCAAGACACAAAAACATGTAGAAACGTGGTAATGGTCAAAAGCAAGTCTGTGAATCTCACATGAAAGGCTGGAAAACTACATGTCCTTGAAATCCTCCTCTTAGGATCTTGAACAACCAAGAAACAAGGAATGACTCTAGCATGTTCCGATATAAGCATCAATATTAATAAGACTGTGAGTAGTGGCGTTAGCATTAGCGTTAGAAGCAGTGTCGTCTGGTATTCATACAGTATTCATATTGGTATTGCATCAGCATTAACACTGGTGTTCTCCATGTTTGCGGATTTTCTTGATCCAAAAGGCCTCAACATGTAGCGCAGATTCATCTACAGGAGCAAGTAGAAATAAGAGTACAAAACACAAGTGAACATGAAATACATGTGGGCATGTAAAATCGGTAAATTGTTCGTACCCCGCCTCAAAGTAGATCGAGATCAGGGCTACTTTGTCGGAACAATCTATCCTGCCCACATCCTCAAACAACAAGTTACTAGTTCACACGCTCCTGTGAAACATTGGGCTCATCTCAAGTAGCCGGCCCAAGGCCTTTGTACAACTACAGCTAAACTCACACGCACCTGTACACCCGGCTGGGCCTGTGCATGCAACTACGCTCTTCCCTCATCCCGGAAGGAATCTCAAAGGACTCCCAAGGGGACGAGAGGCAACACGGGTCGCAAAGGACCTTGCACAAGAGTGCTAAACAAGTTAACAAGTCTGCCCAAGTGCGATACGTCAACAGCGTTGTCAATGAAACGGCAATCCAAGATAAATAATGTCTTTGACATAAAAACCAAGGCGATTCACGCTGGCTCATGCAACAGAAAGTTGCCCATCAAGGAATGCGGTTATGCAGCGCAAGAATCTTCACTCTCACACGCAGAGTGGACCATCTCCAATGTATCCACGACTGTACGCTCGGATCAAGGTTCAAGTTCGTATGGCTGTGCAACAGCAGTTTCAAGAACCAATGCAAACATGGATGATAATCAAGGATATGCTGAAGAATGCACCTGGCATTGCATCATGAACATCACGTAGCTTTATACAATGCAACTGACTCAATGCGGGGTCCGGGCGGACCAGGCGCTGAGTCAGAGCAGCATCATCAGCATCCCAAGTATTTTCAAGGCTTGCAGACTCGGCATGGCGTATACCCACGACTGATGGCCTCGGCACGTGAGAAACTAATCAGCTCCATGGACATTTGAAGCGCCTTGCTGCAACTTCCTTTGTGGAACTTCTTGCCCTGGTGCGGCGCAACCCAAACACGCTGCTGATTGGGCACAGGTGGATTCGGAACAGCCTTTGGCATTGCCTTTGGCATGGGATCATTGCTCCCAACACCTGCTTCATGTGGCACGTGGCTGCCAAAGTCATTGGCACCTCTGGCTTCAACTCTCGGGTCGACTGCTGCCCGGCTCGGGCTAGCTTTGGCCTTTGACCTTGCACCTCGCGGAATCCTGACCTGGACACTCGGCACCTCGAAAATGTCACCTTCATCATCTGTCTCAACTCTCAACGGCCTCGCTGGCGTGCCTGGAGCTGGCAAACCCTCTTCGCTCGGTTCTGGGCCGCGCAGAGGCTTTGCAAAGGCACGATCGCCAACGTTCACATGTACCTGAACATTCTGCCTGGGCTGCCAACCTGAAGGAGGGGCACTGCCTGCCTCACCAACCTGGGCATTTGGCCTCAAGCACCTCCACATGATGCACGTGATCACGCCAAGCAGAATGATCTGGCAAACAACCGCCAGGGCAATTGGATATTGTTCTACAAAAGCAAGCACATATCCAATCATGCTCACGACGAGGCTCATCCAAGAATCAGGATCATCATCATCACTGTCATCACCACTTTGTGCACCCTGTGCACTGGCAACTTGCAACGCAATGGCCAACACCTGAAGAACTTGGCTTGTGCTCACAGTGTTCTGACTCAAAATCCGACGGATTCGGTAAC